CATAGTCGTAGTCGAGTCCCGCCAGGATGTAGGACACCATGTCGTCGTCAGTGAGCGGCTTGCCCACCGAGGCCATCTCATCACCGAACACCTTCATGCGCCTGAGTTTAGGAGATGAAGATCTCCCTGATGGCGGCCCATGCTTCGGTCGCCGTGTCACAGTGTGCAACCTGAACCATAACAGGAGCTGAGATGGAGTTGAAGATGAAACTCAACACCTGAGAATCTCGAGCCTTGTCGATGTCGCATGCAGGGTTGGGCGCGTCCGTGGGCTTGCCGTCCTTGTCGCGGAGCTTCTGCTCCGGCTGCTCCCGATCTGGATCGAGGTAGGAGACGAGCTGCGCCCCACGGATGGCTGCCATGGCTTACACGCGCCATACCAGGAAGTTGGAGCGATGGAGTCGGTCGGCTATGGGGACGAGGGCAGGCGCAGCGACAGAGGAGCTTGAGGATGCCATGGCTACGAGAGATGTGCTTTAGAGGAGATAGGCTCTGAATACCATGAAAGATGGCTTGAAGCGTATGCCTAGCAGGGACGCGTTGCGTGTTATATATAGCCATAGGCTAGGGTTTACAAGATTCGATAGTTGGTTAGGCTTGATCCTCAAATTAGCTATCTACAAGATAAGGATCGAAGCTTAAACCTAACTACTCAGATTACAAAGTTGATCACGCACGCAACACCAAGAGTATATACGGTTTTATACATACACAACCGTATATACATACAATATATTCTAACAGGGTCGGCTTCCAAAAGCCACACACATGAACTGTGGTTTCTTAGTTTGCATCAGAGAATATCCGTTGCTGGGATAAAATTAGTTGGTTCAGTGGAACAGACGCAATGCCCAGAGAGGCAGGGCATGGTTGGTACGTCAAAGTAACGTATGTCGATTCTTTTTTTTCATTTCAAAGTACTAGCACAAGAGCCCGTGCGTTGTAACGGGAAAAACAAATTTCACCCCTTGCGCCTTATCCATGTTACCACTTCTCTTCTTTGTCACCATTATTGATGATAGTCACATTGTCAACTACACGTCTGACATTCCACATAAGCCTGGCCAAGATGCATAAGTTGGCGAATGATCGCGTTTGAGATCTCAACCACATTACATAATTTTATTCCCGCTTTTACGTTGTAGTAGTTTAATACATGTGTGTGAAGGACAGAAACAAACATAAAATTCAATTTAAAATGATCGACACCAAAAACCCTGTTGATATTTTTTTCTTGAGACTTTCAACCCGGCACGCTCATTAGCTCCCCATTTCGTACGTCCCCTTCTGGCTACCTTTTCCATTTCATTGATCGGGCATCACAATGTGATCCCTCTCGTTAAAATATGCAGCATGCATGTCTCAGGAATGCCCCTTTTTAAATTATTGAGGATATCTTATGAATTTGCTTTTTAGGCAAATGTCATGAATTTGTTACACACATATAGAATGTTTGGCCCTCTGAAATCCGTTTAATAGCAGCCCACCACATATATAGAAGGTATATTATTAGCCTCTCTGTCGTTGCTTATTTCTACGTCAATCAATCTTTCTTATTAATTTTAAATGTCTGTGTAGTTAATTAGCCACTCTTTCCTTTATTAGTCTTTCTCCCCTTTCATATTTCTGCGTCATTATCCCTCAGATGGTGTATATAAATTGGATGGATTGTATCTAAGAGGGCGATGTAATAGTATTTAATAAAGAGACAACCTTATGTTGTATGCACAATGTGAGTTAGCTGAGTTGTTCATGACTTCCTTTTTGAACTCGAGGTTGTGTGTTTGAATCCTATTGGAATTACTTCTTTTTTGTGGATGGACAAACATGACAAAGGCCCAATGACCCAGAATAGGTACGAAAGAGCTTTTTTAAAACTTAACGGGCTATGCGTTGGTTGTTTATTGGGCCTAAACGGGACGAAACCAAGAATATCACCTTGCTTTAATAGTAGGTATAGATATAGATAAAAGCTAATCAAATTGTAATATACTCCGTACGAGTATGTCTTGGCATCACTTTTTCCCTTTTCGATGTAGCATTGCTGCTGACATGGCAACCGTGTCCGAGGATTTAGAATATGAGGGGCCAAATAACAATTTAGTGTGAACCAGAGATCAATACTTTTTTTTTGCGGGAACAGAGATCAAGACATTTACACGGAATCACAAGGGCGTGGAGACACTGAGTGAGGAGGAACAAAATCCTTTTTAATAGTTGCTATCACTTGCAAATTTTATTTCAATCAATTTGTGAAACAACTAAATATAAATAAGTTTAATATATATATCCAATATCGATCTTGTTTGAAAGGTCTTTTCGCCATGATTTCAAATTATTATTATAAATATCAAAAACATAATTCTAATGTAAGGAAAATCATCTAAATCACAAAAATTTAGTTGCGAACCTTTTATACTTAAGACATACATGTGAGAGAGAATGGAACATCCTTGCATGCACCTTAATTGCAAGATCGTCCTTCTTCATCAGCTTGCTGACATTTTGTGTATACCATCTAGTTAGGGCGTGGATGTAGTTCCCACTACTCACATTTCTATGAAAATGGAGATAATGGTGTCTTTCTTGGTGTTGATAATAGTGTTCCTTCGTCTACGTGAATCTGAGGACGGAATCACTCAGCCCCTCCTCGGGCCTTACTAGATACAAAAATTCAAAGGCTAGTCGAGACAAGGAACTCTGGAAGTTGCTGCCGAACATATCATCTAGTTGGCTTACATTTCAAACAAAGCCCCAAGTAAGATTCATGAGACATCGTCTTGTTGGACATGGAGTGTTTGGCCATTTCGCAAGAGCCGCTACTTGCAACGTACTTGTAGGCAAATACAATAAATGTGACGAAAGAGAAAGAGAGAATGTAGAAAAAAATACTAATATAATAGCCAACCTTATAGCCCATACTACTATATGAGTGACTATAGATGACGTGGCGGTTTCATATAGCCATCAACACTATGTATAGCGGGATCCGACTGTACCCACATTGCACACCATCACGTAACTACGACCGAGTGAATATCCGAAGCGGAAAATCTACCATGGACAGGACCTCCCTGTGCCTGCATTGGCCGTTCGTTGATGCATCATGATCCGAGCGCTGCGGAAGATTTTTAGCATTGTTTATTCAATACTACATTGGAAAATGTCAATACAGCACAACACAAAGCGATGGTGTGTCAGATTGTTCTGTAGCACTTGTCCTTGCATGCGTACTTGTGTCAGCCTTTTACATAAAGGTGGGAGAGAGTGCGGAGATAGTATGTTGCATGCATAGCTATTTGTTCTCTCTCTCCACTAAAAACTTACATTTTATTTTTCATTCAAAATTGTTAAATGACTCATAACTTTTGAATCAAATGTTTGATTTTGATTTTTTTATATACTTGAACTCCTGCCGCCAAAACCTGTAAATAAGACCAATCTTTGATACATTTCAAACACTTTTAAATTTCAATGTTTCACATTTCATATGTGAAACAAACCTACTTCACTAAAAAATGTGAAGAAAAACTCTTTTTCAATAGAAATATGTGAAACCAACCTATTTCACTAGAAACGTATTTAACCCAAATATGAAACTAAAATGTCAACTTGTGAACGTGATTAATTAAAAATGTGTAATAATTCTTTTTTAAAAAGTGAAATATGTTATTTCAAAAATGTGCAATTGAAATATATGTGATTTTTGTGAAACAAGCTAATGAAAAGTGAAATCTATGTTCTAGTTAAAGTGAAAAGTGAAATGATTTTTGTGAAACAAGCTAATGTGCAATTTCAGTTTCATATTTGAGTGTCACATTATATATACTAGTTGTATTCTGATTTCATATTTTAATCTCACACTAATTATGAAATATATTTTTTAGTTGAGTGAAGTATGTAATTTGGAATCAGTGAAATAAAATTACTTGAAATGTACCTAATATTGGTCTTATTTTAAATTTTTTGATGCGAACTATTTAGATATTAAAAAAAGTCACCAATCGGATTCATGGTTCAAAAGATATCAGTCTCCAAAAAATTCACGATGTATGTATTAGTTGGTGGGAGAGAAAAATAGGTGTGAGGGAAAAGGAGGGGAACTTTTGGTCTATGGGGACATATACACCCTATATGGAAAAAATAGTAATTCAACAAAAATTCTAAAAATATTTTTGAAATAAACTTGACCTTACATTGTACTTGTGAGAAAAAATTCATAAAAAAAAATCCCCCTTTGACTTCTTTTCAAAAAAGACAAAATTTTGGTCAAAATAGTGTGAATAGTGACCTATAATAGCAAATAAATTTTGTCTTTTTTGATGCAAAGTCAACGTTGGGTTTTTTCATGGAAATTTATATACTAGTACAAAAGTAAGTTAAGTTTATTCTAAAAAAGCTTCTGAACTATTTTAATTTTTTGTTTAATTATTAAAAGAAATCTTCATATAGGGTGTACATACAACCAGGAACCAAATTGTATTTTCCTAAGGGAAAATAACTACTATTCGAATGAGAGGAGAAGTGATGTTGGAAGCAAAAGCTGGCCAGAAGACATAGGTCAAAAATGTCAGACGTGCTGACGTGCTAGAGTGAATACAAAAGAGCACATAGCAATACTAAAACCCATACATAACTGCATGGTCATGAATCTTCAACAGATCAAGGGCTCACGGGAGAATCCCTAATATCGTGTCTCCTTTTAAACAGTTCATTTGGAATGCTCCGTGACTAATATGTTATGGTAGAGTCGTGAGACTATGTGACACCGACAAATTTAATCTGTAAAAAGTTCTCTAGAAGAGATACCTCTCCTGAACTAACACTTACAAACCGATCAATCTTGCTAAACAGTAAAGATACTTATGGGCGTATGCGGCAATGATACACAAGCAACCCATCACACACACAAAAGAAAAAATATGGAAAGGCATAAACAACATCAGCAGCACATCAATTGACACACACACAGGGCATGCATCCATGCTGTATCGTCAGAGTCAGAGGTAGCACTCGTAGAGCTTGATGTCCATCTGCAGGCGGAAGTAGTAGAGGCCCTCGATGGCGTCAGTGCGGATGGTTGTGACGCCGCGCGCCATGAAGAAGTCGCCGGTGCCGCCGACGACGGAGAAGTCCCGCGTGGCGTCGCCCATGAGGTCGGCGCCGACGAGGTTGAGCGTGCCCTTGTGCGCCGTCGAGTTGAACACGATGGAGAAGCCGAACCAGGAGGTCAGCGACTCCTGCTTGTCGTAGAAGTAGAACCCCTGCGCGCGCGCCGCCGGCTCCTCCCCGGCCAGGGGCAGCGCCTTCCCCACCGTCATGGGGTCGTTGAACACCATCAGCGCGCCGAAGTAGGTGCTGTTCTTCCAGTAGGTCGTGGCCAGCGCCGTCGGCTTGGTGGCCGCCGCCGTCGTCGCGTTGGCCGTGTTGTTGCCGTTGTAGAGGATGTCGTGGTAGTAGAGCGTCATGTTCATGCACGGCTCGTCGGGGCTGCTGGAGACGACCCTCGTCAGGCCGTGGGCGGCGCCCGCCATGCCGAGGAGAAGCACCACGACCACGACGGTCAGAGACAGCTTGGAAGATGGCGCGAGGCCTTGCATCGTTGACAGACCAACTGTTACCGAGTGTAAGCTCCGAAGAATCGACAAGCTAGATGTAGTGCCTGGCAGGTCGTGTTGTGGTGGTGTTGAGAGCTCGACTTGTGCATGCTATTTATAGAGGTGCATGCATGCCTGCATGGAGCCGTGGGGCATGCGTACTAAAAGTACTCAGTTTAGTAACTTAGATTCTAAGCTCTCTTGCACTTCAAGTGACCAATCTTGTTTATAATTGATTCGGCTGCGCGGTGGGTAGCTCCATATAACAAGGTAAAGCAAACCCTAAAAACGATTAAGCATCTTTGCTATTGGGCAGCCGATTATTTTCCCTTGCTGGGCAGTCAGACGTCAGCCTCGCGATGAGGTGCACACGAGCGTCCCAGGTTAGGTCGGCTTCCAAAAGCCACACACATGAACTGCCGTTTCTTAGTTTGGATCAGAGAATATTCGTTCATGGGATAAAGTTAGTTGGTTCACTGGAACGGACGCAATGCCCAGAGAGGCAGCGCATGGTTGGTACGTCAAAGTAAGAGTTAATACCACTATTGGTACATAAACTTGTAGGGGTGGGAATAGTTTCATACAAAAACTAAAAAACCCCACAAAACTAGTCCTCCAACTTGACTGTTGTAACAAATTCATACAAAGCCAGCCCGAACTGCACACGTGGCGCGCCAGGTAGGCTTTGTCGGGCCCGATGCGTGTTTTTACAAAAAAAACCTCGCGCTTTAGCAATTTCGCAAAGCAGTCCATACCATACCTCCGACAGAAAACCCCCTGGTCGTCGGGCCCGATGCAAACCCCTTCCAAAACCTTTCCCTTCTCTTTCGCCCGTCCCTTGTTCCTCCTCATCTGCTCCTGCTCCTGCGAGGCGACGCCGCCGTCGGCCTCATCGGCGCCATCGAGCCGCGGCGTAGGGAACCCGACGAGTGGCCTCCTGAATATGGTAAGCACTCCTCTGCCTCCTCTGCCTCCACTGCCTTCTCCTCTGCTTCCCCTGTTCCTGCCGGCGGAGTGGTTAGGTTTTTTAGGCCAATCATGCCAATGTAGTGTGAATTTTGGGTCGATCTGCTCACTAGGGTTGGTTGTGTGCGTCCCCAGGGTTCGTAGGGGAAGTACTTTCCATGAGCTTGTCTAGGGTTTCTTGATGCTGATTTGGGGAATTCAGGGGGGGTCAATCAAGGGCAATGTGAGGGGATTTGACCTAGGGTTTTGGGTAGCATATAGGGAAAGGGGGGTCCTTTAGGTCAGAGAGGAAAGGGGTCATGTGTTGATGTGATTTTATTGTTCAGATATTCAGAGATTATATGCTATTGTTGCACTGAACTGTAAATGCACCGTAAAGTGTGATGAAAGGGTGGTCTTTCAGTCGATATTTCAGTGAAAAAATGCTTACTTTCTCTGTTTGGCAAAAGTACAAGCTTTTTTGAGATGAAAGTCAGCATTTTTACTATTGTTTTGTGATGAAAGGGTGGTCTTTTAGTTGATATTCAGTGCATATTTCTGTTTGAAAATCATGTACAGATTCAGTTAGAGTTTGAGCACTGTACTTTGTCAGTTGAAACTATGATTCAGTTATAGTTGAATGTGTTGTGCACTGAAAATTTAATGTGTCAATTATTGCAGTGACAAATGGAGAAGCTAGCCAGTTTTTCTCAGTGGAGTTTGAGCACAATGGGATTTTGTTGGGGGAATGCATAGGAAGAGAAATGAAGTTCTCTTACATTGGGTGCAGTCATCAAGCTTTTGACTATTGTCATTCAGACACATGGTCACTGGGGATGATCAAGTATTGCTTGGCAAGGATGGACTATGACCCTACAGACCCTCAAATCAAGGTGTATTGGATTTTGCCAGATAAAGACTATGGTGATGGCCTGCTTTGTGTGGACAATCCAGATGTTATAGCTGCTATGGTGAGGTCCAGCAGAGAAGCCAAGACATTGGATTTGTTAGTTGATGAGGAGAACAAGATTCAGACCTTATATCCTGAAATCATACTAAAAGGATGCCCAACTGCAGATGGAAATGAGGATGAAGAAGAAGGAGAGGATGCAGATCATGATGCAGAGAATGCAGAGGAACGAGAGGATGCAGAGGCAGATCATGATGCAGAGAATGCAATGTAAGGAGAGGATGCAGATGCAGACAATGCAGATAATGCAGTTGAAAACAATGATGGAGAAGAAGAGTTGAATGAAACCGACTCAGACTTTTATGAGAGTGACTATGATTGTGAAGATGGAGATGATGATTTGTTTGCTTAGAATGTGGACAAATCATTGAATGACAACAATGAAGAAGAGGAAGAGATATTTGAGGAGGAAGATCCACTGGATGATGATGAGCTCAACCTGTCAAAAGATGAGTTGGAGAAGTTGAAATATACATTCAGAATATTCAATGCAGAAATGGACATGAGCAACCCAATCTTCAGGGTTGGGCAAGTATTTGGAGAAATGAAAGAGCTAAGGGAAGCAGTCACTGCATACACAGTCAAAAACAGAGTGAAAATCATTAAAGCTAGAAATGAGGCAGAGAGATTCATTGGTGTGTGTCAACCTGATTGCCTTTGGAGGTTGAAAGCATCTAGAGACAATAGAACAGGAAGCATTGTCATCAGAGAGTACAATGGAGAGCACACCTGTCAGAAAACATGGGATTCCAAGTGCTTGACAGTGAAGTACCTGACTGAGATATTTATGGATGAGTTCAGAGACAACAAGAGCATGGACTTGGGTACATTTGGAAGAAAAGTTCAGCAGAAGTTCAAGCTTAATCCAGTGAGAATGAAGCTTGGCAGGGCCAGGAGTGATGCACTTAAGATCATACATGGTGATGAGAAAGCACAATACAGCCAGTTGTGGGACTATGGACAAGAACTGAGGAGAAGTAATCCAGGGAGCAAATTCATTGTTTGCACAACCAAAGTGAAGGAAATAGGTGACCTGCTTCCAAAAGATCACCTATCTTCACTATATTGGTCCTATGATGCTTGCAAGAGAGGTTTCCTGAGGGGGTGCAGGCCAATTCTATTTGTTGATGGTACAAGGGTGTGCTGCTTACAGCTGTTGGGATTGATCCCAATGATTGCATATTTCCAATTGCAATGGAGATGGTGGAGGTGGAGTCAACTTACTCTTGGGAATGGTTTCTCACCACTTTGAAGAATGATTTGAACATCATTAACACCTCCCATTTCACTATAATGAGTGACAAGCAAAAGGTGTGTTCCATTTGTCCAAACATGCTGATGTTGCATATTTCCATATGGTGTTGTTGTCTCACATGTTTATGAACTAATTTTGCAGGGTTTGATCAATGCTGTTGAGAAGATATGGCCAGATGCAGAACACAGATTTTGTGTTAGACATCTTTATCAAAACTTCCACCAGAAGTTCAAAGGAGAAACACTGAAGAATATGTTCTGGGCCATTGCTAGGTCAACTAATGTGGACAAGTGGACCTTGAACAGAGAGAAGCTGAGGGCACAGAACTTGGAGGCATATAATTGGTTGGATGGCAAGCCCCCCAACCAGTGGGTGAAAGCATACTTCAGAGATTTCCCCAAGTGTGACATCTTGCTGAACAACATGTCAGAGGTGTACAACAGGTAAACTTCAGTTAGTTCACTTTTGTAGCAAACAAGTTCAGTTATGTTTAACACAATCTTGCAGTGTCACTGAGTTCTGACAACACTTTACTATGTCTCTCTTGCAGCTACATCTTGGATGCAAGAGAACTGTGTGTTATATCAATGCTAGAATGCATAACACATAAAATTACTGTGAGGCATGACAGAAAGTACAAAGAAGCTTCAGAAAAGTGGACTGGACTTATCTGCCCCAAGATTAGGAAGAAACTGGACAAGAATGCAGAGTACTCAGATAACTGCTTTCCAACACATTCAGGACTTGGCATTTATGGTGTTGAATCAGGCAACAACAAGTATGTTGTGGATATTCCAGCAAGAACGTGTGATTGCAAAAAAATTCAATTGGATGGCATCCCTTGCAATCATGTGATTGCCTGTTGTAGAGCTGATAGGATTGACCCTGAAACATTGGTTCACAAGTGCTATAGCATAGAAAACTATCTAAAGGCATATGGGCACAACATCATGCCTATGAGGGACAGGAAAAGCTGGGAAAAGATGAATGGCATTCCCATCCACCCTCCAGTCTTCACAAAGAAAATGGGCAGGCCAGCAAAGAACAGGAGAAAGACACCAGAAGAGAAGAAGAAGAAAGATGGAACTGTTTACATCAACAAAAAAGGAGTGGCAATGCATTGCTCAGTGTGTGGCAGTGCTGACCACAACAAGAGAGGACATGCCAAGTTTATGAGGCAACAGGAAGCTCAATTAGAAGATGATGATGAAGTTGGAGATCCTTCAATTCTATAGGTTAAATCAGGGATTTCAGTTAACTATTTTTCTCTGAATTAGGACTTTGAACAGTGATTTCAGTTAACTGCATTTAAGTTCAGTTATGTTACTAACATGATTTTTTTTTCTGACTACAAGATATTATGCCAACAAGACTTGATCCTAGGCTTGATCCTATGAATGACAGAAGCAGTATGGTCTACACCATAGGCCAGGAGGTGCACTTTTAATATTACTGTCTTTCTCTTAATTTGTACCTGCATTTCATTTTCTCATTTATATCTTCCTGACATTTTGTGATCCTGCATAGGAGAGGGCATATGTGAGCACTTGGAATCCTCCCGGGCCACTTCTTGAAGAGTCTGCTTTTGTGGTGCAAGCTAGGGATTCTATCCCTCCCAGAAGAACCACAACCACAGCCACAACAAGTGTGAGGGGAAGAGGAAGAGGAAGGAAGAAAGCTGCAGTAGTACCACATCCAGATGAGCCAGGGTCAAGTGCAACTGGAGGAAGAGGAAGGAAGAAAGGAAAGACAGTGAGATCTGGCACTACAGAGAGAGGAGGATCTTCTAGGAGTAGAGCAATAGGCAGAGGAGTGGCTGGGAGGAGAGACAGG